ATCGGGCGCCAGATTAGTGTAATGTTTTGTGTAGTTGCATGCTTAGTGATATGTCTTGTTCTCTGTATTTACAACTGCCATATTGATTTCTTCCATTGTGTGTTGTTTTTTTATGCTATCGCTTACACTGTGTATAGAGACTTGCTGTGGAGAAGGAATGGCAGAGGCGGCGCGAACAGTGCGCCACTATGTCAGCGACGCTTTGCAGGAACGGCACCCGTACGACGCCCGAAAGGCATTTGCCGGACGCCCAGAGCGCGACAGGGGACTTGTCTTGAGTGGGTTTCAACCGCACAGCACCGACGACTGGATCAGAAGCCTCAGTGACCTCTCCGTGGGCGATGCGCAGCGGGTGCAGGCGCTTCGTCACCTCATTGCACACTCCGCCTCTCAAGAGGCAAAGATCACACTCTTGCGAAAGGAAATCGTGCCTATCGTCGTGGCGGCGTTGAACAATGGTCCGTCTGCGGACTTTGAATGCCAGGCGTTTAGTTTAATGCGGTCCCTCTGCGTGCTGTCGCAAGGTTGCTGCAGTGTTATGGAAGGTGGTGGACTCGAAGCCGCGATTCACGCCATACATGACTGCTCCAACCTAGAAGAGCGTGTAGAAGCACGGACGATGGCAGCGATGGTGCTATACCAGATCAGCTTCAACGCTGCGGGTGTACGATGGTTGCTACAAACAGAGGCACCGCCTGGGTTTGAGTTGCTGGATGCAGACACTGGCCCCTCTACACTCACCATCAGTAAAGATGACGTGATTGCAACACTCGTGTTCATTCACCAGCAGGTTGCAAATACATGTCCCAAAATGATGCTGTACGCTTCCACCGCACTTGCGCAGTTAACAGCGGTGACAGAAGGTATTTTCACTGCAATGAGCGGCAACGCAGTTTCCGTTGTATCTTCCCTACTGCGTGAGTACGCGACCGACACCTACTGGTTGTCAGACGAAGAGACAATGTGTATTGTGACGCAGCTGCTCATCGTTGTGTGGAACGTTGCCCTTGAGCAGACCGGTGTGGACCTCATTGACAAACTAAACATACCGGACGATCTGTTTGCTCTTATTGCTGTTGTATACAAGCACCCCATTGGCCTGTACGGTCCGCTGCTGCGCGCCCTGAGTGGGGCTCTGTCTGCGGTATACAAACTGCTGTCGGTGAAGCAGCGGAGTCTGGAAGCACTCGATGGCGAGCGCTCCCGCATTCAGGTCCTGTATGAGTTCCTTCGCTCCATCAACAGTGTGGTGACGGTAGCGAGTCAGACAGAGCGAGAACCACACCCCGACGTGGTGGCAATGTCGAAGAATGTGGTCTTGTGCACACGTTTAGCCCTGGAGGTGAAGGCAGTACGTGACTTCACAGCCAATTACCTAAAGGAGATGTCCAGCAACGGAAATACAGAGGCGTTCTACTTTAGGCGGCAGCTCTTCTACTCCACCAAGTGGGAGGTGGAGTTCCACGCCTTTGTTTAGCGTGCTCTCTGCTAGAATGTTCGCATGTAATGTAGTGTGCGTGAATGCACGGAGATATGCAGAGGAAACGAACAAACAAAAAAAAAGATAAACATTTGATTCATGTCAGTGCTGTCAGCATTTTCCTTGGTTGTTCTGTAAAGTCGTATTCAATTTTTTTTTTTTGTGTGTGTGCTTTGTGTTTCCGTCTTGCGGCATTCGTTTGTGTAGAGAAGCAGTGAGGGACAGAACCCTGTTGCTGTGGTCGTGCGGGAGCCATGTCGCCCAAGAAGGTGGTGGCGGCCAGTCACTGCACCATTGAGGACGTCGGCCGCATGTTCCAGCAGATTCACAAGAGTGCCGCACACATACACAAGTGCAAGACACAGCTGCTGTCGCACGCCGAGGAGAATAGAGTAGATGTTGTTGATGCCGTATGCCGTGCTGTGCTGCTGGTGCTGAAGGAGTCGCCACGGCTCGCGCTCGAATCCCTCAAGCGCCACTACACCTTCCTTACAGAGGTATGCAAAGGCTTTCGTGAGCGCTTCCGCTCCGATGAGATCGCCATTGCCCTCTTGAAGACCGTGGAGCCGTTTCACAACGCGAACGACAAGGCGGTGCGTCTCGGTGTTGTCTCCATCTTTGACACTCTGCTAAAGACAGTGGACCAGACTGACACAACGGAAGAGCGGCAGAACTTCTACCAGAGCGTGGCGGAGATGCTGAAGCTTCGGGTGCATGATAAGCATCCAGCGGTACGTGAGAGGGCTGTCTCCGCTGTCTCGTGCTTTCAGTCGGGCAAGAAAGACTGTGACGTGACGCAGCAGCTGCTAGCGTTACTGTGCACCGACACCGTGGCAGATGTGCGGCGTCAGGTGCTGCGCTGCGTGTGCGCACGCAAGGAGTTCCTCGAGGGATACTTTCACGGAATGATTCGCTGTGTGCGCGACGTTGTTGCGCGCGTGCGGGTGGAGGCGTGGGACGCTATCTCCCGCTTCCACTGGAAGTACGTCGCTGCCTACGCTGCAGCGAAAAATGTTGCGCTGCCAGAGTTGATTCGCCAAGGACTTTCAGACGCGAGTAGTTCCGTCGTGATTGCGTGCAGAGCGGCGGTGACGAACTGCTGGCTGCACCGCGACTATAAAGACGACTGCGCGGCGATGCTGGAGCTCGTGCTCGGAGGCGGGGCGCTAGAGCCATACGAAGTGCTGTGCACCGAGATGCTGCAGTACGGCCGGAAGCACAAAAACGCCACAGTGTACGTCATAGACTTTGAGTGTGTCAGCGCCACGTCGCTGCTTCTATGGAAGACTAATGCGAAACTGTCGGCCGACACAGAGGGTGACGATGAGACGGCTGTCCTGCTACCGCTGCCGCAATTCAGCGCACTGCTGCAGGACACAGTGTACGCCTACGCCCGCCCTGATGTAGAGCCGAAGATGGCAAAGTTTAAGAATGTGGACGAAGCCGACATTATGCTGCGTGTGCTGCTCTCTGCATTTGACGTTTACGAGGAGAACGGCTACCTCACGCATGCCGATAACACCACACGCAGTAGTCTGCTTCGGATTATTGGATTTCTCCTCAAAGTGGTCCCCGATGACGACCCCGCACTCTTCGTTGACGTTGCCGTGCGCTCACTCAAGGCTCTGACGGAGCGTATACCAGAGGAGGCGACCAAGACAATCACATCAGCACTGGATTCCCTCTTCCGAAGTCTCAAGTTGCCGCAGATGTATGCGCTTGGTTACGACGACGTAGAGGCGTTTGGACGCAAGAGCCGTGAGCGGCAGCGCGAGTTGATTCGCCGCCGCATGAAACTTCGTGGTGGAGAGTCAACACAGGAGGAATACGACCAATTAAAAGAGGAAATGGACAGAGATGAGAAGTTCCTGCTGCGCATGCAATACATTGTGTTGGCATTTCTCTCACACTCTCAGCGGGGCGACACCATCCCAACATTCTGCTCACATGTTATTCAACTGGGCCGGCAACAGGACAATGAGGCGGTCAAAGTTGCCTCTACCACCTCTCTGGGGCTTCAGTGCCTCGTAAACCCAGATACGGTGCACACCTTCCTGCCGCTCATTCTCAGTGATGCCAATGAGATTGTTGGGAATCCAGAGCGGTGTGTTTCACTTGCTGCCTTGGGAGTCGTCTTTGACCTTGTGATGGAGTATGGCTTGCGTTTCTTTGACTGCCCCGCTCATGGTACTGGCAACTACGCCCACAACAACAGTAGTGGTAGCGGCAATGCCGTGGATGCTGATGCTATTCCTGTTGGTGCTGATGATGGTGGTATGGAAACACGTCTACAGCACGAGCGGGCTTTGGCACAGGAGGAGGAGCATAAGGTTGGGGGCAATAACTTGCTGAACACTCTCCGCTCCTTCCTGCGGATACCCTGTGCAGAGAAGAATCCAATGGCAGTTGTCGGTTTCTGCAAACTTCTCAGCTGCAATCGTCTTCCTCAGGGTCAGTTGCCTGAGATCATTGCTGATATCTTGATGCACTATGTGTCTTACCGCCAGGAAGAGAAGGGGAATATTCGTGCGTCCTACATGNCAGACTACCTAAACAAATTCTTTTACAGCTTTGCCTCAAGTCACCCAAATCGTCAGTCTGCCTTTGCCCAAGGTGGTATGATAGCCTTCCGCGTCTTGCTGCCCCACGGCCCGAGTGCTGCGCTGCGTCTGATGGAATTCGTCACGCGGCTCTCTGACGCATTCATTCTCGTGCAGGTGCGTGAGATCGATCCCGAGACGGCACGTCAGGTTGCGCGGCTCGCGGAAAGCAGCAACCAGCCCGCTGAAGACACCACACTGGCGAGGAACACGTCGACGCGTACAGCGGCGACACGCACATCGACACAAAGCGGCCGCTTGTCGAGGGAGTTGAGCCGTTTCTCCCTCCACGAGTACATCGCGAGCGAGTTGCTTCTCGATATCGCACAGAACGACTCCGTGGAAATGCAGAGTGCGTGCATGGAGACGCTGGAGAAGCGTATGTACTTTTACGCGAAGGGTTTCCCGACATGGCTGCTGTACTGCACGACCCGTGCGTTGGAGGTTGCGGAGGGCAGCGTCAAGTCGCGGCTTCAGGCATGGCGGGATGATGTCTGCGCACGTTTCTCACCGTCATACGACAGTGACGGGGACAGCACCGAGGCCAACGCCTCTAAATGGGAGGAGACCNTCGAGGCGAGGGAACGGGCAGCGGCGAAGCTGCTCGACAGCGCTGTCGCTGCTGCCGTGTGCAATGGTGTTCGCTGCTTGCCATTCAGTGGCGCCGATGACGGGGCGGCAGCGCCAGCACGAGTGGAGAAGAAACGAGTGCGAGAGGTCGATTCAGCATTTGGCGTTGACGCCATTACGGGTCGCCAAAAGAAGACGCGCCGCTAGACGACTTAGACAGAACATAGAGTAGAACAAGGAGTAACAAGACATGCGGGTAGTGAAGCATTAAGGTGAGTGCTGTTGTTGTTGTCGTTTTGGTGAGAGGGAGAGTGATGCCCACATTCCCTCAGAAAGTTTTGACATCTCTCTGTTTCCCCTCTTTTTCTCTCTCGCTACATTATACATGCAGAGAGGATGGCTAAGGAGAAGAAGGCTGGCGGTGGCAGCACCAAGAATGACGGCGGTAAAAAAGGGGAGAAGAAGCCGAAGGATACATCAGGTGGCTCTGGCTACACTAAGGTAAAGGTGCGGCACATTCTCTGTGAGAAGCATGGCCGTGCACTTGAGGCGCTGAACAAGATTAAAGAGGGTGCAAACTTTGCCGACGTGGCACGAGAGTACAGCGAGGACAAGGCGCGCAGCGGTGGCGACCTCGGGTGGAAGCTGCGCGGCGAGATGGTGGGCCCCTTCCAGGACGCCGCCTTCGCCCTGCCAAAGGGCGGCATGACAGAGGAGCCGGTGCGGACGCAGTTTGGTTACCACATCATTCTTGTGGAGGACAAACAGTAGGGGCAGGCCTTTTATCACGCCTGCCTTTTGGATTTCACACATCTCAATGGTTGGTTCTGCGTCTTGTATTTATCTGTGAGTGCGTGCGTGTGTAAGTAATGGGACCGCCGTGGCTTTAATTGGAGCTCTGCTCCACCAGGCCTCTTTGGAGCCTTTGGCGTATGCTTATCCTCTCTCTTTTCTATGCACTCTGGACGGATGCGCGTGCTAAAAGAAAAGGCATGATGCGTGAAACAACCACTTGTTCCACACTGCGCTTTCTTCTTGGACCGGTTTGCAAGCATAGTTGGAACGAATTAGGATGACCACACACACCAACCCTTCAGCGCCTTCGTCGTGATCCGTGTTGTTGTCGTCGTTGCTGCCTTCGCTGGGCCAGCCGGCCGATGGTCGGGGATTTCGTCTTGTCATCATCTCTGAATAGGCCGACTGTACGATTCATTTCTGTTTTCTTCGCTCCTGCCTTTTTGAAGGTGTGACGTGCCGTAGCCGTTGAGCTTTTTTGCTCCTGCTGGCCTGCGAGGGGGTGAGGGACACTGGAATAGGCACGCAACAGAGTGGCGGCATGGGGCTGAGCGTAGCAGCAGCAGCAGCAGCATCCCGTCGACCAACGATGACAATGTACCCCTGAAGGGTGGCAAAGTGAAGGGAGATGTATCTGTTTCTACCTGAAAAAGGGGGAACACAAAAGCCAAATGGAACAGCGAAAAAAAGAATATATGAACGATTAAAACAATACCACGTCGCTTGGTAGTACCCACCGCCTACTTTTTTTTTTGCTTTAGAGAGAGGTGTGTGTGTGTGGGGGGGNGGGGGGGGGGGGTGCTAAGTGCTCAGGGACGCGTGAATAGACGAGGTTGGGGTTCGAAAATTAATGAGAATGCTGCGCTCATTGATAAGGGAAGAGCCTTTTTTTTGGCTTGCACTGTTTGCTTTATTCTCTTCTGTTGCACCGTGATAGGCTTTCCCCCCATCTCCCCCTCACTTTGCTCCCCGCTTGTGACTCGGTTGCGGTAGGGTCGCTGCGCAGCATGTTTTTTTTGTTCGTTTTGGTGGTGTTTTCGTTTTTGTTTTCCATAGAGTTGTGCTTTGTTTTAAATGCTTTAACCTGGATGCGTTTGCGTGTTGAGTCACATTGTGCTCACGCCGTAATTCTCTGTGTACAACGACACCAACGCATTTTTGTCCTCGTCTCCCGTGGCGGTTCTGCGATCAAGAGTGTACAAGAGGGTGATATTTTGCGCATACGGACACACATTTCTTTATACCTCTCATGTGTGGTATTTCTCTGCAGAGGCAAGTAGGTCTCTGAGGTGATGGCTTCGATCCCTATTGGCGACACCGAGGTGTCGTTTCCCTTTAATCCGTATCCGGCGCAGGTGGAGTACATGCGGGCTGTGATCGACAGCCTTAACGCCGGTTGTAACGCACTGCTGGAGTCCCCGACAGGGACGGGGAAGACGTTGTGTCTCCTCTGTGCTACACTCGCCTGGCTGGAGCGGAGGCGTGCGAATGACATACAGAGAGACATCGCTGAGCAGACAAGCATGACTCGTGTGTTGTACTGTAGTCGCACACACGCCCAACTGAGCCAAGTCATCCGCGAGTTGAAGCGAACGCGGTATGGCACTGTCTTCTCGATGGCTGTCCTGGGATCCAGGGAACACATGTGTGTGAACTCTCAGGTGCTGCGCCTTCCGAATGCACAGGCGCAACAGAGTATGTGCAACATGCTTCGAGAGGAGAAGAACTGCCGTTTTTACCGAGGGTTTCAGGCCCGCAGTAGCCACAATGCGAGTGCACTCAAAGAACCCTGGGTGCATGACATGGAGGACTTGGTGAAAGAGGGTCGAAAATGTGGATTCTGTCCATACTATTCGGAGAGAGAGCAAGCAAAGGAAGCAGATCTTGTGTTTCTTCCCTATAACTACGTGTTTGACTTGTCGCTTCGCAAGCAGTTACCATTCGGAATGAAAGGAGTCATTTTGATTACGGATGAGGCACATAACTTGCCTTCGGTTCTGGGCTCCTCCGCCTGTATGAATCTGCAGCCACTTGACCTAACAAATGCCATTCATGATTGCGCAAGGGCCGTTGCAATGCAGAGACTTGTCGTGGAATCTGAAGCAGAAGGGGATGCTCAAGACGGCATAATGACAGAACAGGAGTTTGCCTCGCTGAAAATCATTCTCTGCGGGTTGGAGACTTGTATCGCTGAGGAAAAGGATGAAGAAAAAACAAATGAAGAGGGAACACTGAAAAGCGGGAAGGCGAAACCAGTAAATAGACACAACGCCACAGGACCTCTGGATACTGTTGAAATTGTGCGTGAAGGTTCCCACATGATCCCCTTCTTGGCAAAGGCACTCATCACAAGGGAGTTGTTTGCTGGCAATGGTCGTCAAGGGGGCGGAATGAACGACGTCATAACCAAGGCGATTGCTGTCCTCGCACAGAGCGAGTGTGCGGCGACAGGACTCTCAAAAGTGCAGCAATTCCTCTCGTTTGTCTTTGAGCGAGGCGAGGACAGTGACGACGAGGCGTATCGCTTTGTTGTACAAGGGAGCAAAGGTACTGATGGACAATCAACCCGACGCTCGCTTGGGTACTGGTCTCTCGATGCGTCGCATACGTTGCAGGAACTCACGAGTGGCCTTCGGTCACTGCTGCTCACCAGCGGAACGCTGTCACCACTCGACCACTTCGCCGCAGAACTCGGGGTGCCGTTTGAGATTTCTCTAAAAGGGAGCCATGTCATTCAGCCGAACCAAGTGGTTGGGTGCGTTTTGTGCAAGGGACCTGGCGGAGAGAGACTGAACGGCAGCTATGCTTTTCGTAGCAGTGTTGACTACAGAGTGGGCTTGGGCATGTCGCTTGTGAACATCGCGCGGAACACGCCAGGCGGTGTGCTTGTCTTTTTCCCAAGCTACGTCGCACTGAACACGGCAGTGGAGTTGTGGCGGGCCGGTAGCGGCCGCCCCGGCGACACTGTGACGGTGTGGGGAATGCTGGCGGAGCTGAAGCCGGTCTTCGTTGAACCAGCGGAGACAGCAGACCTGCAGCCGATTGTGTTGAGTTTTCAGCGCGAGGTTGACAGCGATCCGTCGCGCGGCGCGGTGCTGCTGGCGGTTTGTCGTGGCAAAATTAGCGAGGGCATCGACTTTGCCGACCACCACGGCCGGTGTGTCGTGGTGGCCGGCATCCCGTTCGCCAACCATACCGATCTGTTCGTGCGCCTCAAGAGGGAGTACATCACGCGCGTGGCGGCGCATCGACCTAAAGTGCGCGGCCGGCTCTTCACTGGTGATGACTGGTACCTCAACGAGGCGATGCGCTCTGTCAACCAGTGCGTTGGCCGCGTCATCCGTCACAAGGATGACTATGGAGCTGTTGTGCTGGCGGACGAACGCTTTTCTGACCGAATGGATGGACTGTCGGAGTGGGTGGCGATGCGGTGCTTCGTTCATCGGGAGTTCCGTGAGACGTACGCGTGTATCGCGCAGTTCTTTGCGCCCTTTCGACGCCGAACCAGAGACGGGTTTCGTCCCTCTTCGTCGTCTCCCTCTGCATTCGGCAGTGCCACTCCCGGTATGAATGAGGACGAGCCTGTGGTTGCCAAGGTGCAGCAGATTCCTGAATCGGCAGAGATGGCAAAGCAATTCGCAGTTGAGCAGTTGCGTCAGGACGCCGCTGAGAAGGAGGCTCAGATGCGCAAGTGCATCGCCGAAGCGAAGGAGGTGCCCACCCTTGCAGGACATTCGACGGACATTGAAGGAGGCGGCGGTACAGGGCTGTCGACAACAACACCGGCATCGGGAGCAGCAGTGACCGTGACAGCAGCACTAACAGCAGCGACAGCGGTTCGTCCAGCGTTCAAGAAGCAGGTGCTGCCCACATTGCCACAGCCCGATCCAACGCCTGCGTCAAGTCCGTTGGTTGGGCCGACCTCGAAGGAGTTCTGCCATTTTCTTAAGCAAAAGCTACAGCCTGCGAGCTACGACCGATTTCGTGAGACGCTGAAGCAGATCGCCTCCATTCGCAGTTCTTCTGGCCTCTCCGCTGATGAGGCAAAAAGGGCGCTCAGCAGTGCTGTTGAGGATGTCGCAGTGCTATTCAGTGAGGCTGCAGGTGACCGCGCCGGGGAGCTGTTGCAGGCGTTTGGTCAACATATCCCTGAAGAGTTTCGTCCGTACTACAGCCATTTGTTGCGTAAACGTCGCCGGACGGCATGACGTGTTCGCGCAGATACTTTTTATTTTCCCTACTGATTGTAAAGAGCAAGGCTCTCTTTGTGAACGTTGAAGGCGATGAAGTGCTCTGGCGCTCTGTCAAGCAACAGGAACCAAAAAAAAGAAAAGAAAAGGCACGTACTGAAGAATCTTTACTTTTGTTTTCTCTCCAATGCCTTCAGTTGATACCCTTGTTCACTTTCAAGATTATTATTATTATTATTGGTATTGTTTTTTTTTTATTATTATTTTCCCTGGCTGCAGAGTGCGGGCCCAGTAGTGTGGAGTAGGGGTTACCGCCAGAATGCAGCTGCGCGACACGTCGGCGCCCGACCTGAAGCGATACATCATCGGCGAGTACTTGGGTCAGGGGAGCACGAGCGACGTCTTCAATGTGACTGACGCCCTCACGAAGAAGGAGTACGTGCTGAAGCAGATGTCCCTCGAGTCCATGGGCGATGCGGAGCGGCTGCGAGTGAAGAAGGAGATCCTCGTAATGAATGATGTTGACCACCCCAATATCGTCAAGTTTCGCGAGAGCTTCAGCGGTGACAACTCCGTTAACATCATTATGGAAAACTGCGAGTGCACACTCGAGGAGCTGATAGAGCGGCAGCAGGATGCAGGTGGGCAGCCGTTCCCAGAAGAGGCCATCATCGAGTGGATGGCAGAGCTGCTGTGCGGCCTCGCCTACCTGCACTCGCGCCGCATCGTACACCGTGACATAAAGACGAGCAACATCTTCCTCACCGAGAAGAACCACGTCAAGTTGGGTGATTTTGGCGTCTGTACAGTCTTGACGAGTGCCACGGTGGCGGCGCACAGCATGATCGGCACGCCACTCTACTTCTCCCCAGAGGTGTGCGAGGAGGAGGCATACGACGAGCGCAGCGACGTGTGGAGTCTCGGCGTCGTTTTCTACGAGATGTGCACGCTGAGGCGCCCTTTTGAGGCGGCGCACCTGCCGGCTCTCATTCAGCAGATCCTAACTAAGGACGTGGCACCATTCAACACGGGGCTTGACACCCGCTTCGAGGAGATAGTGCGGCGTATGCTCAGCAAGGACCCGCGTGACCGCCCAACGGCGCAGGACTTAATTGACAAACACCTTGTGGTGCCGCCTAGCCACCCGTCACACCCGTCGCAGAAGCCGTCGAGGAGTCGGTTGATACAGCAGTACTACGGGCCCGAGATAGACCTTCCACCGGCCCCATCAGGAGGCCAAGTAGCGGTGGGGCAACAACAACAACAACAACGACAACAACAGCAGCAGCTGCTTCAGAAACAAGACAATGAAAAAAATGAACGGAAAAATGTACCACCAACAAAGGCTGTGACACCCAAGGCCAAAGCGAAAAAGCGTGATCCTATCGAGAAGAGACGACCAGGTAATAAAGAGGTCGGAAAAGAATTAAATGCGGAAGAGCGGATAGATGCCATGAAGCGTATTAAAAATGCTAAGAGCAAGATCAACATGACAGAGTTGCGAGAGAATATGCTCCGCCGGCGTTCGCAGCTATTTGGTGAGATGGATGCCTCACTCAGGGATGGTATTCCTGTAGTCATTGAGTTACAACCCAGCCTGCTGTCGCCCGGCACACTAGACATACAACGCGACGGCTCCTCGGATTGTTCGGCAACCGTGCGACCAAAGTCAAGCTTTCTCGATGATATCGCTGCAGTAATTCGGAACCATTCGAGTGGTGGGGTAACAATCGATCTTGAGCAGCTAGAGGACGCCGCCTCACTGCTGTGCCAGTATAAGCTTACGAATCACGGCCTTTATTGAGTGAAAACTGTTTGAAGTATGGGAGGGTGCACGCTGTAGCATCTCTTTCCCTGTTCTTTCTGCCTTTTTTCATTATTATGTTCATGCCTCTTTTTTTTTTTTACGTTATATATTTGCCGGATCCACTCGTATTGGGTCTCTGTCATTTTTTATTGTTCGTTCTTGCATACTTCTCTTTATTGATGATTTTTTTTGTTATATTGCTTATCTCCTTTCTGTGCTTGTGGCTTTCTGTTCTGCTGTCTCTCTCCCTCAATTTCCTTTTTTTTCCTCCCCTCCTCCCTCCCTCTTTCCTGTCTTGCTTCTTCTGCTTGAGCAGGCAACGATACCCAGTCATTGCCATGCCAGAGGCTCCCAGCTATCCGGTGCCGCGGAGCCGGTGGGTCGAGAGGAGCGACAGCTGTGCGACGTGCGGGAAGAAGTTCACCTTTTTCACCTCCAAGACAAACTGCCCGTGCTGCGGCAAGCTCTGCTGCTCCGACTGCGTGCAGGCGGAGTGCGCCATCGCATCGGACACTGCCGCTGCGAAGGTATGCATTGATTGTTTCTCCATGCTCCAGAGCAGCCAGAGCAGCAGACAGGTGAGTGCGGAGCCTTCGCGTGATGGGTGCAATGTGGCCGCAACGACCCGCACTCCTGCCTGGGAGAATGAGCATAAGGCATGCAACGTGTCATTGCCCTTTAGCGAAGCCGGAAACACTGCGAACCGAGATGGTGCGGCGGCAGTGGTGGCGGTGGGGGAATGTTCTGCCTCTCCAAGCTTTCACGAGCATGTGAATGAGCTGCTAAAGAAGTCGGAGTCCTTGCGGGAGGAGAATAGCGTGTGGCTCACAAAAGTCAGAGAGCAGAAGTTGCAGATTGTGACCCTTCGCGAAGAGCGCGACCGTGCTCTTGTGGAAGTTGAGAAGAAGCAAAAATATATCAATGATGTACATGAGGAATGGAAGGATCTGAAGAAAAAACATTCCGAGACGCGTGACCAACTCAATGAATGTCGGCGGCGTCTTGAGGCTATGACGGTGGAGGCGAGTCAGAAAGCTGCTGGTTCAAATACCAATGATGAGGCATTTCAGGACTTGCAAGAGCGTATCTCAAGGTACGAAAAGGAGGTTGCGAGACTCAGCAAAATTGAACAAGGCGTCAAGCCTGATCGAACGTCTATTGACGGCGGCGCGCAGCTAACACGAAAACTACCTGTGTCGCTTGTGCAGGATACATTTCTGGATGTCGTTGCCCCGAAGCCACGCGGCTTGCTGGGCGCTGGCGTCAGCATTCGTGACTGGGGTTTTGACACCTTTGCGTTGGCGTCACGTGTTCCCTCCGTTCTGCAGACAGTGGCTGCAGAGGTCGCTGTGGCGTGGGAATTCTTTGCCACCGAGAGCGAGGCGCAGAGCTGGGCGCGACTGGCCGCCGCAGTGGAGAACAACTACAGGCCGAACCCGTATCACAACGCCGTGCACGCGGCAGACGTCCTGCAGGGCGTTTTTGCCCTCGTGACGGCGGCACAGCCGATGCTGCAGCACATGACAGATGTAGAGCGGAAGGCTGTTGCGTTCGCGGCGATGTCGCACGACGTTCGCCACCCGGGACGCACAAGCGCATTTCTGGCGGCAGTGCACGATCCAATGTGCTACCGCTTCTGCGGTCGTGGCATGCTCGAACAAATGCACGCCGCGACGGCGTTCGAGATACTTGCAGTGCCTGAGTTTGACTTCACTAGCACTATGGATGATGCATCGTTTCTGGAGTTCAAGAATATTGTGGCGCAGCTCATCTTACACACAGACATGACGCTGCACCGTGAGAGCGTGGTGCACTGGGGGACAAAGGCGGCCTCGGGTGGCTTCGACTGCACGCGCCCAGAGGACCGCGTCGACGCCCTCTCACTGCTGCTGCACGCTGCAGACATTGGCGCCACCGCACGCGGAGTGTCAGTGGCGAAGAAGTGGCAGGTTGTGATCGATGAGTTTGCTGAACAGGCGGCGGACGAGCGGCGGCGTGGGCTGCCGGTGACACCCGGCTTTGATCGACCGCAGTCCGTGGAGCGGTCGCAGATCCTGTTCCTCGATTTTTTTGTTATTCCTCTCTTTGACGTGCTGCAGCAACTATTCCCTGCTGTTCAGGAGCCGCTGCACAACCTCCGCGCACTACGTGAGGATTACGCAGCAGCAATAGGAGGTGTGGCGACGCCCTTTCCTTCACGTCTCGACTATAGGAGCCCTGATGTGAAGCTGAAGGAGATGGAGGTTTATGCCGTCGAATGTCAGAAGCGTGAGGAGGAGATTCATCGCTACTTGGAGGATATGAAAGCAGCCGGTGGAAAACTAAAGAAAAAATCGGCTGCGCTAAAAGCCAAAGAGATTGAGTTGAATGAGCAACTGCAGCTGCTGTTGGAACGGGAACATCAGCAGAAGAAAGGTTTGGAAAAGGCTGAGGAAATTGTGCACGTGGAAAAGCGTGAACTTCAGGGTATTGTTGGTACATCTGTTCCTCAAGAGGCAAATGCGGCTGGAAACGCTACTCTGGATACTTCCATAACGCAGAGAAGTGAAGCACTAGCAGCTAGAGAGAGGAGAATCCGTGAACGCGAATCTGCACTTGAGGTGAGTGCGAAGGATATTGAGCGTCGTGAGAAGAAACTAGCCACTCTCTCAGAAAGACTAGTGAAAATAGCGGAAAATGTGCACGATGAAAGGCGGCGCATTAAGCAGTTGGAGGAGTGTGAACCCACCATTTGGCGGCGCGCATCCGCTGTGCAGGAGGGGGAGGATGCTTCTGGGGCTCAAATGCGCTTACCACTCACTCAGTGGGAGGCGGAGGAACGTCTTGCACGTAAGTACAATGAGGTGGATGAGCTCCTGCTGATCGTGCGTTCTATGCGTGTAGATTGTGTCGCGCGGCGTGATAACGAGTTGCGGATGCAGCAGCTCTGCGCAACCATGGCAGAGCGGGAAGCAGCAATCTCGGAGGCCGTTGAGTTGTCGCGGCAGCGGCGGCGGCAGGTAGCGGAGGGCAGAGCCGCTCGCCCCTTGACGACGCAGCTGGATCGGTTGGAGAATGCCATCTTCCAGCTTACATCTGCCATCACATTCCTGGCGGAGTAGGGGAATCTTGTTCATTCTATGTGCCTCTGTATCCTTTTTTTTGTTCTCGCTTTTTCCGTTCTTTTTCCTTGCTGTTTCTTGCTTTCTTTGGCTTGCAAGTTTTTTCTTTGTTTTCCTTTTTCTCTTCGCCCACCTCTTTGTATGCCTGTGTGTGAGTGTCAACGATTCTTGCATGTTTGCACGCCATTGCGCTGCTGCAGTGGCGTCTCATTCGTTGTTTTCCCCCGTTTGCTGCACCTCTTTTCATCCCCTATCGTCTCCCACACTGTTCAAACCGCTAGCCCTCGTGAATATGGAGACTGACCTCGTCCGTATCTTGCAAGGCATAGACTGGGATAGCATCCGCGATGACTCTGAGGCGGCACCCGCCGCCCCCGCTCCTGCCAAGTCATCACCATTGCCGCTCAACGGTTCTATGCTGCACACCGACGTGAACGTTGCGGCGACTGGCGAGACACTCATGGAGGGGTGCGCCGCTCCGCCCGCCGCAGTGCCCGCACAGCACTTCCCGGCGATGCAGATGGCCCCACCGGGTGGTGCGTACTATGTTAACGCGGCACCATACCAGACACTAGGCATGTCGTCTGGTCCAGGCCACGGTCAGGTACCAACACAGCCAATGGTCTTTGCCCAGCCGAATGGTCAAATGGTATATATGTCGATGCCTTACTTTCAGCAGCCACCGTATCAACATAGTCCCCCACAGGAGCGTCTTTTTCCAGCAACACAGAACCCGTATTATCCCGCACCTTTTTTGCAACTCCAAGCCGACGGCCAAATAATGCCTCAAATGCCCCAACAGCAACAGTTCCGTGGACCAGCATCGCTTCAGACAAGAAACACATCTGCAGGTATGCAACAGAAGCAACAACAACAGCATCAACATCAGCAACATCAACAGCAACAGCAACAACAGCAACAGCAACATCAGCAGCAACAGCAACAGCAACAAGAAACCAACGATAATCAGAGTGGTTTCATTTACCTTGTCCCAGGAAACCCATTGCCACAAGGTGTACCATTCTTTCCTCATGGCGTGCGTCCAACTACCCAGTATACATCAGAGTGGACACGTGAGCGTATGTCTGAGCCACCAGAATACAATAGCGCCGTCTGGCAGATGCCTTCACAACTAACGGACTCCAAGAAGGGTACACCACGACAATGGGAGAAACCGACAGGAGAAGTCGTTCCATCTTGCCCTATATGCGGTCAGTCAAATTTTATTTCTGAGAACGTTCTTCGCTCTCACATGCGCGCAAAGCATGAAAACAGCGAGCCAACTCCTGCCACGGTGCAGACCGCAGACAACGTTTTGAATACCACTCCTTCGGCCACCCCAGGGGATGACGGTCACAATCCGAAAGGTTAAGCGAGTATTTTCTTTGGCGAGAAATGTTCTTCGACCTACAAATTCTCTAGGTGTGGCTTAAGTGAGGGAAAGGAAAAATAAGAACGAAACACAAAAACAAAAGCAAAAAAAAAAAGGCGGAGCAGCCGTGCCGAACAATCCTCATTGTAGCCAGGCGGTTTAATGCTCTCGTCATGGGCAATCTCGATACCTTAAAATAACAATTCACACGTGGCTATTGTTAAGTTGGTGGCGTTGAGACAAGGTGGATTTTTTCGTACCCTTCCCATCACCAATGCCCACATTTTTGCTTCTTGGTGAGGGACACGTATTTGTGCACTTTCTCTTGTACTCTAATTACACGCAACACACCGGTTGATTGATACGGTGGACATTCTCTGTGCTTGCACGAAGAACAAAAAAGATGTTGCCCCCTGGGCCAATTTCCATGATTTTATAGACGTGAGCAATGGGTGCTGTGATTCTGGCGATTTGTATCAGTTTTTGTCGCACTTTACTACGCACCTTTTTAAATGTTTTTGTTGTTGCTTCTTTCTGCTTTTTTTCTTTCCTTTTTTTGTTATGTTTGTTCCCGCTTCACTGTTCTGCGGGCGTTAGGGGACTGTCGAAATGCGGCGGCTCTTCGGGGGTCAACTTCTTGGCGTGAAGCATCGCCGACTTATCGTGGACGCTCAGGCCTTCTTCGAGCTCTACGGGCGCAGACCTGACGCGGTAGGTGTGCAGCCGTCGGGAGCGGAGTCTCCTGCTTCTTCTTGCCCTGGCGATGCTGCTGCTGCTGCTGCTGCAGGTACATCGCTAACGTGGAGGAGAGCACTCGACGAGATCTCTGCGCAGTTGTACGTGGCGCCAAATAGTGGTGTCAGTCGAGCTGCTACAAAGAAGGCGCTGGAGGCGCTGACGGCAGCGTTCGCTTTACCGCGTGACCGGCGGGCACGTTACTGTCAAGGATGTTGGGAACATGCCCTTGATGTGTGGGCTCACACGGACAAAAACGACCTCCACAGCGCCGTGCTATTGATAACGGTGTTGTTCTACAATGGAAAGTACGATCTTCTGGCGCAGCACGTGGAGAGTTGCTGGCTATCAGGGTCGCCACAACGGGTGCTCAGGAGCAGCAACATTTGTCATTCCCTTAGGTTGATGGCTGTGTACGTACTAGCTTGCTCGTTAAATGGGACGCATGTTCAGTCGGTGATGTTGCAGAAGGTGAAGGAAATCGCTGAGAGGGCTCTTCGCTGTGCCAGTGGTGAAGCAACGAAGGAGAGCGCACTCGAGTATAGGCTGCTGCTCTACGCAATGGATTGGTATTTTTTCCACACAGATGATCTTGATCTGCGGAAGCTCATCTCCTCCACGTTTAGTCCACTTACACCGTCAAAGCTACGACCGTTTTTGTTTGTCACAACGTCCCCACACCATACGAACATTGTGAGAGATATGCCTCCTGCCACTATTCTCCGAGAAGGAAAACATTGTGCGACCAATTGTGATAAGGAAGGACTGCTTCGGTTGTTTACACATTGTCGGCGACGTGAAGAGTCACAAAGTGGGTTTCGGTTGTTTCAACTCTCCACACGGTTAGGAGACATGCTATCACTCATGCCAGACACGGATTCTCGTCTACTATCGGATGTCATCACTTTCTGTGGAACCTCCCTAAGCTTTGAAGCACTCACAAAAATTGGGGCGACAAGACGCTGTCTCCCTGCTGTTCTGCAGGTCCTTGGCAGTATGGAAGGCGCAGAGGCGTACTTTGCCGCTCGACAGGTTCTTTTCCACCATGACTCCAAGGAGGCATTGACCTTTCAAGAGAAGTATGGGGATATCCTTACTGGGGATTCAAAGCTGGTGTGGCGAACTGGACTGGAGTCCATGCAGGAATGCCTTGCGCGAGGCGATATGAAGTGGCGTGGTATGTTACCATCTGTGCTGCGGCTACTGAGTGATGCCGGTGAGACTGTGAAATTTTTTCAGCTCCTGCGTGAGAGCCATCGTGAGGGCGAAGGTGCGTCCCTCATGGTAGCTTCAGCGTTGGGGCAAGCTGCACGCCGTTCTGGACAGTGGTGGCGCGCACACGATGTGCTTGACATAATTGCCGCCTGCGATCCACCGAGGACGGTGTCGGAGGATCGATTTCTCGAGGATGCCTGCCTGCAGACGTTGTACGCCTTAAGAGACGGCAAGCGATGGAAGGAGGCGCTCTCATTCTACAAGTTACTGGCACCAGCGATGCCGAAGACGGCACACAGAGTGCTTTGTTCGGTTGTCTGCGGAATGCCCGCCTCTTCCCCCTGGGAGGAGGCTCTGGCGATGGCCCAAGGTTATGGTGATGTTCCGGAAGACTTTCTCACATCGCTTCTCTGCGCAAGGGATCCAGATCGCGTTGCACATTCGCAGCGCGTAAGCGCGCGTTCTTGGCGGTACATGCTTCAAGGGTACGCCGAAGGTGGCCACTGGCGTCATGCGTTGCAGCACGTTTGCAGTCGCGAGAAGGTGAATTTTAATGCGTGGGTTGCTGTCCTTCGTGCAGCGCAGCGTACACCACTTGGCTCACTGTCGCGTGATTTTTTTGAGTTCCTTCCCGAAACAGTTTGGCGTGTCTCGGAACTATTGAGGCTTTCTGTTCTGGTTGCCGAAGGACATGGGTACCTGAAGGAGCTGCATGATGTGCTGCAGAGTCGTAAGGAAGGTTCGCTAGCGGCAGAGTATCATGCTTTGGTTCGCTTCTTGATGGATGGGCGTGCTCCACCTCGGGTAGCGAGGTTTACTGATGATTACGTCATTCACCGACTGCTCATGTCTCCTGTGTCTTCTGTGGAGTCGGTATTTATCACCGTCGCGTGGACCATGGGGGCTCGCACAGCGTTTAATAGCATACATTGTGGAGACATGAAATCCTTTATTCAGGCACGCTACAAGGTTCATCCATTATGCTTGCCTGGTCGGTGTAAAAAGGCAGAACAGGATGTCTTTACACTCCGTGCTATTCCGCCTCAGGTGCCCTCTGTGGGAGATGAAACACTTGTGGCTGTGCGAGATGACGTGATTGTGGCGTATAAGCCCCCTGGGGTGGCGACACACAGTTACGCCAGATCGGTGGCACAACGCAGTAAAACAGGTGGTATGCACTACCTTGCGTACCTGCTGACTCCGCCTTCCTGCGGCCTTGTGTTGCTCGTGGCGTCCAACATTCCCACCAAGGCGGTGTGCCTCGAGATGAAAGTGCTGCTGCGTATATGTCCCACTAGCTCAGCCTCGCCGCCGTTGATGTCCAGCGAGTTCTTTGCAGCGTATGCAATGGAGGTGGTACTGGGACCTGCGTCCGACGGCTGCGTTGTGGTAAGGGCCACTTGCTGCTCCGACTCTGATGGATTACTTGCGGGATCACTCTACCGCCTGAAGGAGAGCATTGCCGCCGGAGGTTGGGGTTTCTGGGAGGGAGACACGGGCGACAGTGATAACGGTGGCGAGTGTGTGCACCTCGCAGAGGTTGCGGTGCGCATTCACCACACGGGGTCGGAAGTGGAGCCGATGCACTTTTCTCTCTCACACCTCCCTGCGTGGTCGTTGATGACGATGGAGGAGCAGCCTTGTGTTTAACACCTGCGCCTTAAAGCCGTCTCATTGGAAGGCTTGGAGTTTTTTTTTCTTGGGAGGGGGGTGGGGGTGCGAGAAGGCATGCTCCTGAACGAGAACGAACAAAAATAAACACATTGGTGGATTTTCGTGTTGTTCTGTTTTCACATTCCACATTCACACGTACACAAAAAAAAACACGCGCCATGTGTTTGGCTACGTATCTGTCTGCTTATGTATATATATATATATAATTGGATGCACATTTTCTTTGTTTCTTCCTCTCATTTAATTTCTCATGATACCTTGCGTGAATAGCCAGAGAAGGCTATTGCCAGGCATGGAAGCCGTGACGCACACCGTAAACCCAGGGAGCGAGGGAGCGTTCAACTCTGTCACGGATGCGCTCAACGCCGCCTCCGTCGGTGACGTGGTTGCCTTGAAACCGGGCCTTTACGAGGAGTTGCTGAAGGTGTTCAAGGAGGTCACACTCGTGGCTGTACCAGATGATTCCGTCACGGAAAGTGAGGCTGTCGTTACGAATGGTGTCGTGATTGGCGCCAATGCGACGCTACAGAGGCTGCAGATTCGTGGAAGGATCGATGTCCGCAAGGGCCACGCCGTCATTGAGGACTGTGACATCCATCACGGCGCTGACGGTGTTCGTGTTGGCGAAGGTGCGAAGCTGAGCATTCGGCGTTCCCGTATTCACCACTGTGAGTCTGGCGGGGACGGGATATACTTCTCCCCCGGCTCATCCGGCGAGGTTGAGGACTGCGATATTTACGAGTGTCGTGTAAACGGCATCCACGCCAACAACGCGAGCGTGGCGGTGGGCAACAGTCGTGTTCGCGACACCATATTTGGCGTGTACTACCGGGGACAATCAACTGGGGCGGTGGAGAAAAACTCCATTGAGCATGTGCAGAAGTTCGGTATCTACGTGTCGGAGGGGAGCGACCCAGTGGTGCAGGGGAATCAGGTACGGGAGTGCGGGATTCACTGCGGCTTCGTCTCCCAGGGCGGCAAGGGGATATGGACGGAGAACGGCTTCGAGGGATCAATGCACGTACAAGGCGGCTGTGACGCCAAGTTAGGACCCAATCAAATCAGCGGCAAGCTCGACGTGGACAGCGCTCCCGTTGTGGCGTAGGCGTGTGGCCTTGGAGGATTAACCGAAGACAACGGAGCAGGAAAGAAGGATGAAAAAAAAAAAGGCTAACGTCTTACTGTGTACTCACGCCAGATGTAATCTAGTCATGAGGGAAGTGAGTACCAACGAGAAGGGACACATGTTACTTGCATCCAATGTTCAAAGCAACGAAATGGGAATCTCTCGCTTTCGACAGGAAGGCAAACACACAAAAACCAAGAACAACAGCAACAAGATAAATCGAGTGGTTGGGTTTTCTTTCTCTAACGTCAAATAATGCCCCAGAAAACACGCATATCTTTTGAAGAACACCATTGATGGTCTTGCTTTTTCTGTTTCCTCACTCTTCAATCCATACAACTTAGTTAGGATGAGTCAATCGGCGGCTGAGACAGCTGCTGCAGCTGGTCTTACTAGTCCTGCGGAAAAAGAGGATAGCCATGTGGGCCCTTTTTCTGATAGCGTAGGCATGCAGACGTACTCTCTAAATAATAGTTTGCGTGCAATGCACATCATGAGTAGACTGAACAATGAGATGAGCTCGGTGGAGGTTGCCGCTGCAGGATCCTTTGGCGTGGTGAAGAAAGGCTTGTTTGACTTTGACTGCCAGCACTACGCTGTGAAGCAAACCAAGCGAATGATCTCCGGTGAGGGGGACCTCCAACAGCGGCTGCAGGAAGTTTACGCACTGAGCGCGTGCAATCATCCCAACATCCTGCGTTACTTTGACGGATGGGTGGAAGACAAGGCCGTTTACGTTCGCACGGAGTGGCTTGCGGACGGATCTGTCGCCGACTTTGAACGTCCCCTCACAGAATCGCTGCTGCGCTCGGTTATTCACCAAATAGCCGCCGCCCTACACTGGCTATCGTGCCACCACATAACACACGGGGATGTGAAACCGGAGAACATACTGGCCTGCCGAATGGAAAATGGCACTTACACCTTTAAGCTGGCGGACTTTGGGCTGGCGCGGCCCGTCTTGGGTAATCGCCCCAACACGGAAGAGTTGTTTCGAGGAACAAATGACGACGACGGAGATCAGCGGTATCTCTGCCCCGAGGCTTTCACGCTCTGCCCGTTCAGCTTGCAGAGGGGAGAGGCAGATGTATATGCATTGGGTGCGAGTTGTGTGGAGCTGATGGGTGGCGATCCAGCCCTCGTCCGCAGCGGCCGGTACACGTGTGACTTCGACTCGTACACTCGAGAGATGCAGCAGCTGGTGCGTGGAATGACAAAGAGTGATTCAAAGGAACGTCCTAACGCCTTCACCGTGGCGTTGCTCACCCTTGATCCTGAAATTCAGTCCTCTGAGGAGTTCTCGCAGGGCTGCGCGGAACTCGAACAACTTCGTGAGTCCGTGACGGCGCTTGAGAGGGAACTGGACGCGCTAGAGATGGCCATGGGCGAGACAAGTGATGGCGAATAGAACGCATACTTGTTTTCCCTTTTCTTCTATCTTTTTTTTTTCTGATTTATCTAGCTTTGGCGCAAAGCGAAACGGTTTACGAGTTAGTCTTTCGTTGACAGCTTTTGTCTTGCTGAGAGTTGTGTTTCCCCTTGAACCACGAAGTGCATCAAAACAAAAAAAAGCCCATTGTTGCCTCCATTGCACATTTTCACATTGCATATATGACCCGCTTCTGATGTCATTGTTTGCTGTTGCGTTTGCTTTTTTCGGTAGTTAATTTTTTTTTTTTTCCTCTGGAAAAAAAGAATAGTGTNTATATATATATATATACTATTTGTGGTATAGTTCACTATTATGTTGAGCGACGTGGTGTACGCTGAGTCGTGCGGTCAGAAGTACAAGCTGCAGGTGCTTTCCGACTTCCGCACCTTTAAGGAGTTTGCGCTGTCAACGGACGCCTGGACGACGTACTACTCCGATGCGGTTATCAAAGTGGAGTCAAAGCCGCCAACTGTAGGGGCATCGGGGCTCAACATTGTCCGTGTTCGTCGTGAGATGAAAGGCATTCCGTGTGAGGATCTCTACGACAACTTGCACGACGCCAAGTACCGTGAGAGCTGGGATGAAAACATGATTGAGGGGTACAACATTGTAAAGCTGAATCCACACAACGATATTGGGTACTACTCAGCGAAGTTTCCATGGCCGCTTAAGAATCGAGACTTTTGTAATATGCGCTCTTGGATGGAGTTCACGAACGGAGAATACATAATCTTCAACCACTCCGTCACACACCTGGAGTGCCCAGAAAAAAAGAGCTTTATTCGGGCTAAATCTATCCTCACCGGATACCTGATTCAGCCGCTGGGTACTGACGGATGTGTGCTGACCTACATCACGCATAGTGACCCATGTGGGTCTATTCCACACGCGGTTATCAACTTTACCGTCACACGGCTCGTGCCAAAGGTGATGAATCAATGTGAGAAATGCTCCAAAGACTATCCAGCGTTTGTAACGAAGAATCACACCGTACCGCGTGACCAGTTACCGTGGCGCACAACAAAAATGAACTGGAATAGTACGTTCAACTTCCCCAGTGAAGAGCTGGCCGCCAGTGCTGCTGCTGCTGCTGAAGAACTAGCCCTAAACCAAGAAGAAGGCCAGACGATGGACGATAAAGGACATGAAAATAATGGTCGAGGGGCATCTCTTCCGAATGGAACACCACCACAGGCGGCCATCACAACGTCTGCTCCTAGAATGACTGAATCCTTTTCGCTTGTGCCGGTAGCACCCAATCGTAGAGATGATACAATTGCCGTCCAACAGTATAGGGCACTCATGCATGACGCTATGAATACCGTAGATAGAACATTCTTACAAGACGGTAGAACACCTGCCTTTGCTGATTACTTAACACGGCTCGCGTTTATTATAGATGGTATTAGGCAAACCACTCCACATTGATGCATCTGGAAATAAGGCATTTTTTCAACCATCTAATTGAGGTGCTTGTACATGTTTGTTTTTGTGCTTCTGTATTTGACTGCATCTGTGTGTCTGAGATGACGCTATCTATGATGTTGAAAATAGAAATGACCTTTCTCAAGACCTTCAGTCAGTAATTTGGACCATGCTCTATTTGATGTATGACCTCTCCTTACCTCTTCCATCATTTTTGCACTGCAGCCGTAGAGCCACACATGGACACCACCTTTGTTGTGGACTATGGATCCCACACGGTGAAGCACACATGCTTTTCCAAATCTGACAAATCTTCGGCGTTCGATGTTAGCCCCAACGAGGTGCCTAGCCGTGCGTACGTCGACGACACCCTAGACGTGGCCCTCCTAGGTAAGCATCTTGCGGAACTTCTTTCCGACGCCTGCCCCGAAGACTCTGGACTGACGCTTGCATTGCTGGTCGACGCCCTGCTCCCGCAGTGGAAGCGGGAGCTTGTGCTTAAGTGCTGCATCGAGCATCTGGACGCAAAGCAGGTGTTTCTGGGAAATGTGGCAGCCACCGCTCTCTTTTCGGTCGCGGAGACAACGGGCATCGGCGTTGACATTGGGTACCGTGGCGTGCGCATCGTCCCAGTAGTAAACGGCGTCGCACGCACGTCTCTCTGCGCCGATGTGCCGTTGGTAGGGGCGCGGCAAACGGACAATGTGTTGCGCCGCCACATCCCGCAGGCGGAAGAGGCGCTCCTTCAGATGCTGAAGGCGACTGCCTGTTTCATTGGTGACGAGGCACCGGCGTTACCGCAGCAACTGATGTTGCCCGACGGAAGCAGTCTGCCTTTTCCGCTTAGCACTTCCACATGCCGGGAGGCGGGCGAGGCGTTGCTGTTTCATGCTCCTCACATTCGCGCCCCGGACGTGCTTCAGCACACGTACCAGAAGTGTCTACTTGAGCTGCCTTCTTTGAAGCACTGGGTGCTCTTTGGTGGCGCTTCGTCTATCACAGGGACACGGGAGGCGCTTCGTGGCGCAATGAACCGTGTCGTGGCGCCCTTGCAGGGTGCCACTCCTCCGCAGCTACTGCATGTGAAGTCGCCAATGCAGGCGGCACTCTCAGGTGGCGTTATTGTCTCACAGCTGAGCAGTTTTAAGAGCATGTGCGTCAGCGCAGCGGAGTACGCCGAAGAGGGACCTCACCGTTGTATTCATCTCAAGACAGTCGACGAGAGGTGAGCGATTGTATGGGGCTGGTCGAGGGAATTCTCCCGCATCTCTGATGTCCAGTATTGTCATTGCTGTCGCTGCAGCTCTTGTTTTTTTTGACGCTATTACGGTTTTCACCACATCCTGTTGGCGTGTCCTCTTCCATTCTCTTTTTTTCTTTCGATCATGGTTCTATTTTCTAATGAAATTTTTCAAAAAAGGAATAGGTGGGGGTGAGCCGAATAGACTGCGTGAATGCAGTGTTTACGTTTTCTGTCTGCGTAGGTGACGGTTTGAAACATACAAGAGGAGAGAGATGAGAGTATTTCGTAGGGCGCAGCGCCGCCTCCATGCGCGGTATGAGCTTATGCGAGCCAGGCTGACAATGCGGGGGATTGCCGATCACGAACTCATCGGCCGCTACTGCGGTCTGGCGCTCATACCCTTCACGCTGTACGTCTGTTGTGGCATGATGCAAGGTTACTCGACGGGCCGTGTGAGGAATTCTCTGAACAAGCGTGATCCGTGAGGCGGGCGCTGCTTATATGCTAGCAGCTTTGTTTTCTTTTGCTCTTGTCTCTGCTGCTGCTTCACCACCTCCGGAGTGGTGCCTTGAGTTCTGAGGAAATAGGGATGCAAGGAAGAGTGGGCAACCAAGACGATAAAAAGTCTTGCCTTTTTTTTATTATTATTGTTCTTCTTCATGGTTTGCGTGTTTCTATTCTTTCTTTAAGCCCCGACCCGGAAGTCGAAGCAGCCGACGGAGGGAATATACTGAACGGCGACAAGAAAAAGGGAAATAGAACTAATACACAGACAACTCCGACAATACAAATAGAAAGAGCACAATCCCCTGCGAGGACACTAAAAAAAAAAAAAAGAAAAGAAAAACAAAACAAATTGTACATATGTTGTCGACGAGCGGGCGAGTAAAGCGCAAAAATGCCGCGCCGCTGCAGAAGCTTAGCCAGACAAAAGCATCAGTGGTGGACCAGCTGGAGGAGGCGCTGCAGGCACGTGACTTCTCCAAGGCCACAACGATGCTGGAGTTCTACAAGACAACAAATCAGCCGGTCGGTGACCTCTCCATCAACCCATGGCTGGCTTACAGTGCGTTCCACATGAATGATGTGGTCAAAGCACTCGACGTGTATAAGGAACTACTGTCGCTCGAAAACTGCGACCCGATGCACCACATCCACATGGGGTGCTGCCACTTCGTCAACGGGTCCTACAAGGAGGCCGAGGAGTGTGCACTGAAGGGGCCAGATTGCTCGTTGCAGACACGTCTGCTGTTTCACCTTGCACAGAAGACATATGACGAAGGTAAGTTGTTGAGTTACCACCAGAAGCTGAAGGACACAGTTGAGGATCAACTGTCGTTGGCGGCGGTGCACTACTACCGCGGCCACTTCCAAGAAGCCATTGATGTCTACAAGCGTATTCTGCTGGAGACGCGCGAGTATCTGGCGCTGAACGTATATGTCGCAATGTGCTACTACAAGATGGATTACTATGATGTTAGCCTTGAGGTACTGAATGTGTACCTGCAATCGCATAGCAACAGCGCCACGGCGATCAACTTGAAGGCGTGCAACCACTATCGTCTCTACAACGGCAAGGCTGCGGAGGCGGAGTTACGTGTGCTGATCGACCTGCAACGTTCAACTTACAACGTTGAGAACGATATTGTAAAGCACAATCTAGTCGTTTTCCGCAACGGCGAGGACGCGCTACAGGCGTTGCCGCCACTTCTCAATGTTGTGCCCGAGGCGCGCCTCAATCTCGTCATTTATCACCTGCGCCATGACCAGTACGAGGAGGCGTACGAGTTGATCAAAGACCTCGAGCCTGTCGCGTCCCCGGAGTACATTTTAAAGGGTGTTGTCAATGCCTTCATTGGGCAAAAGCTCGAGTCGGAGGAGCACCTCAAGGTGACGCGCGAGTACTTCAACCTTATTGGCACTGCGCAGTCAGAGTGCGATACGATCCCGGGGCGGCAGTGTATGGCGTCGTACTTCTTCCTGTTGCGCGACTTCCCGAATGTGCTGTTGTACCTGCGCTCTATTAAACCGTACTTCATGAACGATGATACCTTTCTCTACTTGTACGGTATCGCCTGCGCAGGGACTGGAAACTTCGCTGAGGCGGAGGAGTCCCTCACAGCGGTGCGCTCTGAGAAGGTGAAGGCGGAGTTCAGCTACACAAGCTGGCTGATGCGATCTCACATCATGAACAAACATGCTAAGCGGGCATGGGATATTTACCTCAAGATGGAAACAAGCGCCGAGTCATTCAACATCCTTCAGCTGATGGCAAATGACTGCTATAAGGTGTGCGCCTTCTACTACGCTGCAAAGGCTTTTGATGTGCTGGAGCGCCTCGACAATGCTCCAGAGTACATTGAGGGCAAAAAAGGCGCTTGTATTGGCGTCTTTCAGCAGGTGTTCGCAAACCAAGAGCCTGCGGATTCGCTCTTTGATGTGATGAAGATGCTCGAGTCGAGTGTGCAGCAGCATGTCAATGAGCCGCAGGTCGCCCAACAGTTCGAGAGCATACTGAAGGTGATGAAGGACTGGGTGAAGGAGAGCAAGCTGAAGCGCAAGTAGCGTTGTGTAGATATTTGTGACAAACAAGAAAGGGAAGAAGAAGAAAGAGAGAGGAAAGAAAAGGAAATCAGAAATGAAAGGGAAAAAAAACACACAGAGATACAGAAGGAAGGAAGAAGAATATGAGGCGAGGAGGAAAGCAAGTGTGAACGAGTTTACACATTCGCATATGTATGGACCGCGGAAGGCAAGAGTCATTCCAATTAGATAGTCTACTACGCCCCGTTTCTCAGCTCCCCTCTCACACGTGATGGGATAGGGGAGTGGGAGGGTGGTGGCATTTGTGGTTGAGGCACGTTTTGCCTGTGTGCGTGTGCGTGTGTGTGCCATTTCCTCAATTCATAGGCGAATGCACACCAAATATAGTTAGAAGTTCCCCCTTTTGATGCTTCGTCAATGGTGCCTGGACTCTTTTGTATGCACTCCTCCTCCCTCCTCCTCCTCCTCCTCCGCCTCTTTTCCCCTCGTTGCTGTTATTCTTGTTGCTGTGGGACTTGTTTAGATGATTCGGCATGGCCCCACGGACGCGCCACCTACGCTGGAGCCGTCGGTGGAGGTGCTGCACGCCATGCACGCGCTCTACTGGCGCGGCAGCTTCCTTGGCACGTGTGTCGCAGTAGCCCCGCGCGTGCTTGTGACGGCGGGCCACCACTACAATGCTGTCAAGGACGACGTCGGCGACTTCAGCGTGCGCCAGCCAGGGAGGTGCGAAGCACGCGTCGAACACGCGGCGAAAAACGGTGCCCATGACACACTTGTGTTGTGGGTCAACACAGACCTCGACTGTGTTCTTCTTCGCGGTTTCTTGCCGCCCGTGCAGGCACGCGTTGCCACAGTGTGGCTATCGACGAAGTGGCCGCACGAAACGGTCGTGTCACCAGGTGTCGTGATTGAGAGTGACATGTGCAATTGCGTCGCACGTGGGACTGTTAGCACCAGTGGCTCCAGCGGGGCTCCGGTGATTGATTACTTTGGCGATCACGTAGTGGGCATGCATCTCACCTCGAATACACGTGACGGCTCACGGGTGTCGGGGTTCCTGCCAGCCCGAAAGATTGTGTCGATTCTTGCCGACATGGACGTCAAGAGTCGCTTGGTGTGAAGCTGTGGTGCTGTGAAGAGAACTCTGGGAACCTGTGACTCGATTTTCTTTTAATGAAGAGAGAAATCCTGTGACGGATGTACCGTGCATGTGCACGTGTTTGTATCGGTATATTTGATTTTTGGGTTTGTGGCTTTCTCTTTTTCCCTTTCTTCACACACACGTACACTTTTTATTACTCTTTTGAGGGTCGTTCTTAGTGTTAGTGTGAGCCAAATTTCTTGTTTTGTTTTTCTGTGCGTAGTGATCGAATGTCGGCGGATAATACCCCCGTGATGTATGCTGACGACGTGCCTGTCGCGAGCCACTTCTACTTAAGTCCCGTAGAGCTAGTCTCTGGGAGTGTCGCTGGCTTCGTTGAACACTTCGCCATGTTTCCCTTCGACACCGTCAAGACACGCGTGCAGAGCGGGTGCTCATCAAATATTGTCTCAGCGATGCGGTGCATGTGGCGAACAGAGCGGCTCACACATTTCTACCGTGGATTTTTTCCTGTCATTGTTTCTGCGGTCCCGTCACATGGTGTATACTTCGGTATGTACGAGGCAGCGAAACGTGTGTTCGGGGAAGAGTCTAATGCGGAAATTGTGGCCTCGGCAAGCTGTGCTGTTGCGGCTCATGACACCATAGCCACGCCATTCGATGTTGTGAAGCAGCGGATGCAGATGGATGGGAATAGGCAGTTCAGGTCCTCACTCCAGTGCTGCAGGCAGATTATGGCAGAGGACGGCACCCGGGCCTTCTTTCTATCGCTCCCTACAACGATCGCAATGAATGTGCCACATTTTGCGACATATTGGATGGTCTACGAAGGCTTCCTGGCGCACTTGGGTGGCGAGCGGCGCGACAAGGAGAACGAACTGGCGGTGGACTACGTTGTGGCCGGCCTACTGGCCGGGACGGCAGCCTCCTTCATATCCTCTCCGTTTGATGTTGTCAAGACGCAGCTGCAGTTGGGTCACGAGAGGAACTTTGCGACGGCCTTCCGTAATATTCTGTGCCGCCGGGGCATCGGCGGTTTGTTTGCTGGTGTCTCTGCAAGAATAATGTGCACGGCCCCTTCCGGGGCGTTGACAATGATCACATACGAAATGACAAAAAAGTTTCTGATGGGTTTATAATAACTCTCTCTCTCTCTCTATATATATATATATATATTTATATATCACAACAACAACAACAACAAAGCTGTGCTATTCTCACAAGGCACTAAAGAGAAGAGGCCTCTCTCACGATTGACGTGGAGAAAAAAAAAGGTGAACACTATTCTCTTGCAACGCAAATAATATTTCTGGTGGGAAGAAAAAAGGTTCGCTTCCTTGAGGGGCTGTACAGTGAGCAGTTAATAGGTAAAAAAAAAACACCTTTTTCTATAAATACACGCCGTGGAGTGTGATGAAGGACCGCTTCTTTTTTGGGTTCAGTGAAGGAATGTGGCAATGTTGAGAGGGGATATTTTTTTGATACTGGGTGCATGTAGCGCCCTCATGTCCTTTTGGATCGTTATGTTTCTCTCCCTCTCACTTCCCCATCTATGTGTGTGTGTGTGCGCGCGCGCGTAGCCACGATGAGTGGCTCCCAAGCACTTAGACGTCTCTTGTATATCGACACAGAAGAGGGATCTGTTGCGCGCCGTGGTTACCACTATGAAGGAACGTACGAGCCACTGTTGCGCTCCACAACACTTGAGCAGCCAGCGGCGGTGTTGCCACGCAGTGGATTTCGCCTTTCCTGTGCTTGTCTAGCGGGATGCCTCCTTGGGTGTCTGACGATGAAAGCGCGAAACATGGAGAGGTGGTGGCTTGGCCTTTTCTTTATGTGCGGTATGTACTACAACGCAGTGAAGGCTCATAAAGTAAACAATGGTCTTGTCGGCCACCAAAGTGGTTTCTTTGCGGCTGGAATGGGTGTCTTAGGATGCGGCAGCCGGTTAGTGGTTCGTGCTGGAAGTAGGAGAAACAATGTGCGGCTTCTTTCGTTGTTCTCTGCGCTGATGTGGTACGAAGTTGGAAGGTACCACCTGTGGGCAGAGCATGTGTCTGAGTTCCGACGTGAGGTGACACCGGAGCGCACGTACAATCTACTGACGGAGTACGTCCCACAGGGGATTGACACGGTATTTCTTCCTTATCGCTCTGTGTCATCGCGGTGACGCATACATTCCATCTGTATTGCTGCTGTTGTTGTTGTTGTTTGTTATTGATACAATGTGAGGGGTGGGCTACCTTCTGGATGTAGTTTCTCTTTAGTGCTGAACGCAGCAACTCGCTCTTCTATTGCCCCCGATTTCCCTTTCCTCATGCCGTTTCCCTTATACCCACCGCCCTGTCACAGCTGTAGCCGTAAAGAAAAGCACATAATGCCCAAAGCGGTTATTCTAGACCACGACGGTGGCCATGATGACATGGTTGCTTTGTCGCTGCTCCTCACCAACCCGGAGAAAGTGCGCCTGATCGGCTGCATATGCACGGATGCCGATTGCCTTGTTGAGGATGCATTCAATGTTACCGGCAAGCTTATGTGCCTCATCCACAACCACACGAATGTGCCGCTGTTCCCCATCGGTAAGTCATCATTTAAGGGTGTGAACCCATTTCCGTCACTGTGGCGTTGCCACTCAAAGAACATGGACGACATGCCGTCTCTAAATATCCCTGCACAGACTGCCCTGTGGGATAAGGTCAAGCCAGAAAATGAGAATTTTGTCGGTGAGGAACTGCTCGCAGACCTTGTGATGAATTCCAAGGAGAAGGTGACCATTTGTGTCACAGGTCCTCTGTCCAATGTTGCGTGGTGCATTGAAAAGTATGGAGAAAGGTTTACCGATAATGTGGAGGAGTGCGTCATCATGGGTGGCGCTGTCGATGTTGGGGGTAACGTCTTTGAGTCAAATACGGACGGCACGGCAGAGTGGAATATCTATTGGGACCCGCCAGCGGCCAAGAAGGTGCTCGGCTGCCCGCACATGCGCAACATACTGTTTTCCCTTGATTCAACCAATCACGTGCCTATCAATTCGAGTGTTGTGCAGCGCTTCGGGGCCCAAAATGAGTTCCTGCTTTCCCAGTTTGTGGGAGCTGCTTGGGCTATGTGCACGCACTACGAAATAATTCGTCCAGGAGACGGCTACTTCGCGTGGGATGTTCTTACAGCTGCGTACACACTTGACAGCAGTCTGGCAGAAGTGGAGCCCATTGCGTTGGAGGTGGAGGCTGATAAGACAGAGAGCGAGGGCCGCACGTACCGCTCCTCCCAAGCGGGCCATTGCACGTATGTCGCGAATAAGGTGAAGCAAGATGTGTTTTACGAGATGGTATTATCGAGTATGCGTGCTTGCTAAAAACAAACAAACTATATACGGTAATGAAAACGAAGGAAAACAAAAGTGGGGTATGGGTGGGTGATAGGTGGGTGATGGGGTGGCAAAATAATAGATGGCTTTTTTTTTTGTATTGTTGGCTTTTATTAGTCACAGAAAACGAAGAAGAAAACGTAAGTGCCAACGCACATATTTATGGGCCATAATGTTGACCTGGGCCCCGCGCGTGCTGTTGCGTGATCTGTTGTTGAAACTAAAACGAGAAATTTGGTCAAATTTTTGTTCAATGCGAGTAATACACCCTTACGCAAACAGGCATTTATGCCCATGTGGGTGAGTGCTGACTGAGGCCCAATATCTGTAATTGTGTGGCATTCTTGATATTCCTCCTTGTGCTTTTCTTTCCCTTTTCGTAATCCCTCTCTGAAAGAGGGAGGAATGACCGAAGTAAATGTTTCCTTGGGGTCGCTTCAGGCATTTGCGCCGTCCGAATCGCAATCTTTGAAGGAGCAAGAGGATGCCACCATGTGCTTCGATGAGTCCCACGCATACTTGTTCAAGTACAAGACAAAGGGAAGGAGGACGTTCCTACAGGATCAAACAACCGCGGCCACACGGTTGCCGCGAATTCTTCCAAAAGGTCTTCCGTATGCCGCTAACTTTGTTTCTTTTGATGAACTTGTGCAGCGTGGTATTCTGCAGTGCTCCAGCCAGGACGAGGTGGATTTCTCCGTCGATGACCTCCGGCTGCTGTACGAAGCCAAGTGTCTGGATCAAGAGTTACCTCCGTCGTGGGAGCGTGAGATGCGCTTTATGGAGCTGATCAGTGCCAACTGTACAGGCAACTTCTTCTGCCTGAAGGAGAGTGGGTTCGGCCCGATGTGTGCTGAGGCGGTGGCGCATATCTTGTCGTCAAATAAAAAGTACATCATTCTTGACCTCAGCGGCAATCGTTTGAGAGATGAAGGGGCTTGCTCCATTGCGAAACTCATTAGTGTCAACAGGACCCTTGTTCACATTGGTCTCCGTTCTAATGACATTGGACATATTGGTGGTGTGGCATTAGCGAAGGCATTGCTTGAAAACAACACAGTCGTTTCACTTGATGTGGGTGCGCATTCTGGTATCAACGGGAATCACATTGCCATGGAAGGAGCAGAGGCAATTGGTACCATGCTGCGCGCCAATAAGGTGCTTTCCCATCTGAACCTCAGCAGCAATGGATTAGGTGCCGCCGGTATTTCCTTCATCGCGCAGGGTCTCGAGGGGAACTGTAGTCTGACACATTTGGACGTTTCCATTAATGGGTTGGGCTACGCGGGGTCAAAGGTCCTCTCCCCTGTGCTTGAGACTTCCTGTATCACGCACCTCTCACTGCAGCGGAACAGCCTCACCGACAAGGGTGGGTTGGTGCTCTTCCGTGCGATTTCCAATGCCATCAGCAACGGAGAGGACAGGATCGAGTTTCTTAATCTCGAAACCAACGACCTCGGGGAGAAGACCGCTGCTGAGATGCAGAGGGTGCTAGCCGCATCTTCTGCTATGAAGCAACTGCGCATCTCCTCCAACAACTTTGGTGCCTCATCCAAGTATATTATGGATGGTGTAGCGGAGAGCAAAAGTCTGCGCTCGCTACACATGGCGTTCTGCGAGATCCGCGAGACGGATGGAGCACCATTTGGAAATGCACTGACGGTCAACTCCACCCTACAGGTGCTAGACCTCTCGAACAATAAGCTCAAGGACGCCGCTGCAAAATGCATCGCCGAGGCAATGAAGACGAATGAGGGGCTGGTGTCACTGAATTTGTCCTGCAACAAGATCGCCGATGAGGGTGGAAAGGCAATTGCGCTCTTTTTGAAGAGCAACCGTACCCTTCGGGATCTCAACCTGCGTCGAAACTCCATGTCTAATGTAACGGGTGAGCTGCTGGACGAGCAGCTGCGTGGGAACTTTACATTAGAAAAGATGGATGTGACTTTCAATGATTTCCGCTACAAGTGCCTCATTGGCAACCGCGCGACACTCACACGCAACGCGAAGAAGAACAAGACGCTCGTGGTGCCGAAGCTGCGGGCAGAGATTGATGGCCTGGCCTCCAAGGAGAAGGAGCTCTCTCAGGCAGAGGATGAGATCGAAATGGAGCGGCGCATCATCAAGGACCGAAGTGAACAGCTGCTGCGGCGCAACGAGGAGGCACGCGTCGCGTTCGAGAAGACACGGCGGGAAATAGTGGACCTGGAAAAGAATCTTGTGGCTGTGTCTGGGCGCTCGGAGTCCGCACAGGAAGTCCTGAACCGCACCGAGGAGTATGTGTGCAATGAAATGGCCAACCTGACTGCGCGAAAGTCAAACATGGAGGCACGCGTCCAACAGGAGAAGGATCGCGTGGACCGGATGCAGCGCGAGATGGAGCGCATGCGCCGGCAGCTGAGGCAGCTGGAGGAGGCCGAGGCCACGAAGTACAAGCCACTATTCATGGAGTACAGCATCGCCGAGGCAGACAGGGACCGTGAGGCGAAGGAGTGCAGGTACGAGGCCGACAAACTCGCCGCCCTCGAGCTGCAAAGGAAAGAGCTTGAGAAGAAGATGGGCCTCTCGCTTCCCACGGCGGGCGGCGCCGCGGCTGCGTCGAGACAGAAGCAACAACAGCAGCAGAAAAAAAAGAGGTAGACATGTAAGCGTGGAAAAAAAAGGCATGCATGTGCTGTTGTTGTTGTTGTTGGTGCATGCAGCATCATTGTATTCATGTATTGTACCAGAATCACCACTGTCACCCCGAAGTGACCAGTTACCCCTTTCGATTTATGTTTCTGTTGCTAGTGTTGTTGTGGTTGTTGTTGCTGCTTTAAAGTGTAGCGTTGTCTCTGCCTTTTTGTTTCCCTTTCGTTCCTTTTGCGCACCCTTCCACACTTGTGGCTTAGAGCAAGGAGGGGTGGGGACAAGACGGGAAGAAAGCGATTTGCGATAGCAAAAATCTGCGATGCCACAAGCTCTACCTCGTACATTAGAGGCAGGAAAGAAAAGATGCCCAAAGTGGGACGATGTGACGCCCAGTAGCGGTGCTGCTGCTGTTGTTGTTCCTCGCGTCCATCACATTCCTCACCGTCCTCGTAGCTGCTTCGAGGGAAGCCGCGTCAGCAGGGCTCTCTTCACACTGTGGTGCAGGCTGCTTGAAAGCTACCAGTCCGCCGCCTATGACGACGCGTGTCCCTTTCTTGTCGGCCACCAGCACTCGCCGAGGGCAAGTGCCGGTGCTGCGTGGGGGGCAGCCGACGATGCGCGGTGGCAAAGCATGTTTGGACCGCGTGCCTCCGCAGAGGCCTTGATATTTCATCTATATTACGGCTTCATCGACGTGGACACCGCTGGGTGGGTGATTGCATTCTGCATCATCGACAATCTGCAGCTGCAGCACATTGTCCGCAAAAAAATGCAGCAGCTTGCCGGTTCGGCGGGAGATTTGCCTTTCCTCTTTCATCTCGGCAATAGCTGGCGGAACCTCTTCGTTGCGTACTGCTTAGCGCTGAAGTGGCACCTTGACTACAACATCACCATTAATGACGTGGTGAATTTACTCCCACACACGTCACAGAATCGCCCGTACCTGTGCATGACATGTGCGATGACGGAGCGGCAGATGCTGCATCACCTGGACTACAATGTCACGGTTCGTCCGGGGCAATTGCTGCAGCTATTGGACAACTTTCTCATGTTCGATGAGCGGGAGTGTGTCATGGAGGCCCTTGTCAGCGGCTGTGCGCCGAGGTGCTGCGTTTTTTAGCCCCCACAGACACACACTGTGTGGGTGTGCTCACCTCTGTTGCAGTGTTGCTTCTGCTTCCTGTTTTCGGTTCATCTATTATTTATTTTTCGTTGTTGCGTGTCACGTGGCTTTTTTTATTATTGGTTTTGGTGGTGGTAGTGGTGGTGGTGGTGGGGGCTTTCTTTTGTGTTGTGCTTTTAAATTGTTTTCGTTGCCGTCTGTTTCCGTCTCGCGGCATCGCTGACGGTCGCTGGGGAACCCGCCAAACGATGGCTCCGCTGCGTTGTGGTCACAGCACCCCGACACCAAGTCATGGGTGCGTGT